ACTGAATAATCACTTTGTTATTGATGCAGGCTATTTGGCAATCTGCCACTCTTACAAGGTAGACCAATGTAACCACGTAATGAGGAGATCCTTGGGAACAGAGTTAGGGAGTTTTGGGGAGAGTACTCCTACAATAAGATTAGAGGTTAAAAACCATATAAAAGTGTGAGTTGGTAATTTGTTCTGCAGGCATCTCAGCTTTGTGGTTTCTTCCAATAAAGTCTTATTTTGTCTTCTGGAGCTCCGAACTCCTAATATTTTTGCAAGACTTTCTCCACTACTTTTTTTTTTTAAACAATTTGAAAGAAAAAGGTGCTTTAGTGAAGAACAATAAGAAGTGTTTAGTCACACCTGCCTCCACTTTTTGCAAGCACATTCTGGACGTTGTGCTTTCTGTTAGTCAGAGCCGACCATTTATGATCTGTTCTTTATCTCAGTGCAAGGACAACTAAATATTAGACGCATAATGGCATATGGTCACATTGTCCTCACAACCAGCATTTTGTTCCAGTACTTCGGTGAGTAATTCCTTCACTCTTTTTATTAAACATTAATTTGAAATGGTTTATAATTAGTTAATAGAAAATTCTGTTTCATAAATATACGAGTAAATATAGATTTACTAATATAATAAACATTACCCTACTGTTCAAAAGTTTGGTTTTGGCAAGATTTTTTAATGCTTTTGGAAGTCTTGCACATCAGGGGTGCAGTTATTTGATCAAAACTACAGTAGAAAGGGTAATACTGTGAAATATAATTACAATTTAAAATGACTAATGTTTTCTGTTTTATTATATTTGAAAATGTAGTTTATTCCTGTGATGACAAAGCTGAATTTTCAGCAGTCATTACTCCAGTCTTCAGTGTCACATCATCCTTCAGAAATCACTCTAATGATTATCAATGAAACAGTTGAAAACAGTTGTGCTGCTTAATATTTTTGTGGAAACTGAGACACGTTTTTTTTTTTCAGGACTCTTGTTTTTCTGAAACTTTAAAAGAACAACATTTGTTTAAAAATTTAAATATTTTGTAACATTCTAAATGCCTTTACTGTCACAAGGTATAGAGATGTTCTCTTTGTACAGATGTTCAGGCAGTTGTGGTTAATTAATTAATTAATTAATTAAATGTATTAATTTATGCATTTAGCAGACGCTTTTATCCAAAGTGACTTACAGTGCATTCAGGCTATACAGATTTTTTTTACCAGTATGTTAAGCCCTTTGTGTTTGTCCGGTCGGGGTCATCGGCTGAGCTGACCTGCACGTATGACACACACGCCTCAGAGGGCTTCACCCTGGAGTGGCATTATGCCGTTTCAGGAACTCCTGCCATCCAAGCCAAGAGGGTGAGGACTCCTGTATTTAGAGTCAGTTACAATAAACCACCACATCTGATCTCAATGTCCTGTTTGACACAGGTGCTGTACTACAATGGGAGGCTGTACTGGGTGAACTCTTGGGAGGGAAGGATGGCTCTCGTGCAGAACCCTCCAGTGTCGGGCGTCACTTCTGTCAGGATCATCAATGCTGATATATCTGATACTGGGTTGTATATATGTGTGGTCACCAACCCCAATGACTGGTCCAGCAGCGGACAAGGTCTGATCAACCTCACTGTGCTAGGTAAGATGGATCATGGATTTCAAACTTTTTGATACCATAGACCCCCAAATATAATAACCTCCTGTGATATATTTATATTTATGTATTAACTTTTACATATTTATTTTTTTACATTTCACACTATTTCAAGCTTTTAAAATTGTTCTCTCCATCATCAGCTCCTCCATCTGTGCCAGAATGTTGGCTGCAGGGATACTCCTTCGTGGGGAATGATGTGATTCTGATATGTCATTCCTCTCAGGGTCACCCAACACCAATCTATTCATGGCACAGAGAGCAGAACGCAGCCCCTCTGCCGTCAGTTTTGTTGAAGGTAGGAAACAATCAGCTGCTGCTGTAACACTCAATCTGGCACCTGAAAATAATGCACGGATGGCACAGATTCGCTTACTCAACTTTTCTAAAGAGCCAAACAGGATTATATATAAACACAAACCATTAATGATTTTAATAAATCCAAAAATCCAAAAAAATTAAAATGTACTCACCCTCAGGTCATCCAAGGTTTAGATGAGTTTGTTTGTTCATGAGAGCAGATTTGGAGAACTCAACTTTTCTAAAGAGCCAAACAGGATTATATATAAACACAAACCATTAATGATTTTAATAAATCCAAAAATCCAAAAAAATAAAAATTTACTCACCCTCAGGTCATCCAAGGTTTAGATGAGTTTGTTTGTTCATGAGAGCAGATTTGGAGAAATGTAGCATTGCATCACTTGCTCACCAGTGGATCCTCTGCAGTGAATGTGTGCCGTCAGAATGAGAGTCCAAACAGCTGATTAAAAACATCACAATAATCCACAAGTATTCCACACCACTCCAGTCCATCAGTTAACATCTTGTTAAGCGAAACGCTGCGTGTTTGTAATAACCAAATGCATCAAAATGTTTTATAGTAATTAATTAATAATTATTTTTTTCATTCTTTTGTGTCTAAGAATAAATATTTAAGTACATCTCATTTGCTGTCAGTAAATTGTACATGTATATTAGTCATCAGCCACCTTGCTAGATATCTAGATATCAACCTTTAAAAATCCAATACAATAATAAAAAATCCCGTCTCATTTGTTCTTCAGATCATCACACAGGTTCTCTGAAGTTGCACAACCTGTCTGATACCTTCGCTGGAACCTACACATGTAAAGTGTCTAATGAACTCAGTCAGGCAGAGTGCAGCGTAACCCTCAGAGTGACCTGTGAGTACAACACACACACACACACACACACACACACACACACAGCTCTAAAATCACTGAATACTGAAATCATTTGACATGGTGTTCTATTGATAGATGCTGCTGTGATTGGCAGAGTGTTCATGGGAATCTTTCTCGTTGCGCTGTTGATTGGAGTAACGGTCATATCTATGACACATGGAAAAAGGAGAAGCACATCCAGAAAACATGCAAAAGAGCATACACTCTTAAAAATAAAGGTGCTTCACGATGCCATAGAAGAACCTTTTTGTCTAAATGGTTCCATAAA